GGTGTCCTAAATCCTTCTTTCGTCGACAAGGACACGAAATAGTTGAACCTCGGGGAAAATTTCATGTCAAAGACCATTCTTAAAAGGTCAAGCCTGGGCTCAACCTCGAGACACCTACACGAAATAAAAAATTACACCAACATCCTCCAATCATTCGGGGTTAGCTGGCACTAGCATAAACACTAGGAAGTTAAAAAATGGATGAAGAAGGGGTGAAGAGGCCACCTAAGCTTGGTCTAAAGGGAATTCCTAAAGAATGTCATCTCCCTCTCTCGAGCTCCTAATACGGTCTCATTAGACTCGGGGGCCCTTATATCACACCCAGGCATGACCCCGAACTCCCTTGTTGTCTTAATGATAATATGTTCTTTATACTTAGTAGGGCCTTTATGTAAATTAGGATACCCTCACCACCAAGGTGAGAGCTAACGGGGACAACCATAGGAATAAGGGATGTACCAACGTCCTCGTAACTACCATTAGTTTTCAAGCTACTATCACTGTCACTTGAGCTCTTACTGCTACTACTACTCGGCATAATGCTAACTTATAAAATAAACTTAGGGGCTCAAACTCTTACCTCTTTTGATGATCACTCACAAACCTACTATCTCCCGAACTTGAGCTTTCTTTTACTGAGAGTTGAGAGTGAAAAGTGAAAAGTAAAAATGTATAGTGGAGGGTACTTATAGGGGTCTCTGGCATTTCAACGGTCAATTAAACTGAGCCCCAGGGTCATGACACGTGGAGTTTTTCTAAGTTCGAGGTCTGTTGATCCAACTTGTGTCTTATACGTGTCAAGCAATCACCGTCGGTTCATTACCAGGTATGAAATTCGATTTGGGGCTACTGCACCACTTTGCATCTCGATTCTGTGACTTCGATGCACAGGGGCCTATAATGACTCAAAGTTTTATACCCGAACTCGACCTACTTTGCCCGACCTCAACCTCTCATGTATCACCCACTTCTGAGGTCGCCACTTTAAGGTCGGGGCATAGCACTTGTGTTAGGCCGTATGTACAACTATGTGACATCCAGGGAAGAAAAATCCTATTCTAATAGTAATTCCTCGGGATCTTAATCCTAACTGTTTAACCTACTCCCATTTTGACTCAAACTTAAATGGACACTTTGAATAAAACTAAAACATTTTGGCCAATAGAAAAAAGACTATAGGTAGTTCAATTACTCTATAACTCTACCACCAATACGTATAAATATAGGGCCAATGTTCATTATTCAGGCACATTTTCATTATTTATAATTCATAGCTTTACACACTAAATTCCCTATCTGACTTAAGTATCGGAGGGGAGACAAAAATATATCTCGTTGCCTTTGTTTCAGGCATCAGAAGATCATTCGTGTTCATCCCTAGCCTTCAAGCTCGACGTTCCAGCCCTCAATTCGAGGTCTATCAGGTGCAATTTTTGGTAGCATCAACGGTTATATCTGATTGTCTATTATCTTAATGTCTAGTCACTCGAGTTCAGCTCTAATTCACAAACTAGGCTCGATTAGACTCTCTGGATTGTGCATCTCATGGGTTGAGCTAAATCATTCATGAATTGACTCGTCTCAAGTAACAAAACAAGTCCAGGAACAAGTTGAGGCCACCATTGGCTCGTGAAAAAAGAGTGTCCAACTTGTTCATGGCTCGCCTCAAAATGAGTTTGAGTCAAGACCAGCCGAGTCCATGAGCAGCTCGATCCTATTGTTACACCAATTTTGGTTGTTTTGAATTTTATAGTGGGTAGAATTTATCATGAATTTATGTAATCGAGTTTAGTGGCAAAATCAATCCCAACACTAAAAGTCTACAATGGAGCTAATGCTTAGAACCAAGTTTGATGAACTTGTTCCAAAGGAAATCACAGACATAATGGATCGTACCTTTACATGGTCGGAAGAAAACGAAATTGGAAAAGATAGTTTACAGATATAGCACTAAGAAGAGTAGCTAACCATTTTTAGCACTCTTTTTCTCTGGTAGAATCTTACCACTCCTTGTGACCAACCCTGTGTCTTAAGAAAAAAAAATAAAAATAAAAATGGAAAGAAATTGCTCGAGTAATTTAACTGTTTACTTCTTTTCCATTTAATTGAGTTCTTTTAGTTCAATATTATTAATAGAAGCAACATGAATTTTTAAATATTAATTATTATTTGATATTTAATCGATATGAATTTATACCTACCATGTCCCAAATTTTGCGAATTTTAGTGGTACGTTTCTCAAGTGAAAATCAGGTCTGGTCGATTTTTATTTAAAATAATATATTGGGATTAAAAATATTATTTCTTCAAACTGCTAAAGGCCAATAACCCACTTTCATAATATATATATATATATATATTTTCCCCTCGATCAAGAATTAGAATTAAGGAAATGTTTCACAAATAACCTTAAAAATCAAATTATTTCCCAAATTACTTAACCTAATTTCTTCACAACTCTTTTATAAATTAAATTTGTTAAACTAGTAATATTTTTAATATTATCAACTAAAAAATATTCGTAATTTTTATTTATTTCTAATGTTATTAATTATTGACGAAATTTCCAGAATGAAAAAAGGAAAAAAATATATATAAATTTAATCTTAGAGATACATCAATAGGTGACCGCCTAACTCCTCTAATACTTCAACTGACCATGGGGATTATGGATATGTGACAATGGTTCCATTAGTGATTGAAGCATTGATGGGAAAGTGAGCATACACAAATTGCATCTTATAGCACTAAATTTTCATATATGTACACTCATAGGATGTAAAGTGGAGAATTTGAAATGAAGGTACCCGATGAAGATGATTTTAATGAAGTTCGGGAGGTAGGACAAACAGAAGTAGAGGAAGTCATCTGAGGAGAAATTATTAATTTATTAGGGTTCTTCTGTCTATCTTCATTTAAAAAAATAAAAAATTGGGCCAAAAAATGAGGCCCCCTCCAGTTTTGGGTCTAAGCGCAGACATCGTTGGCCTCGCCACAAGATCGACCATGAGCGGTGGTAGATTGTGATTGTGGGTGATGGTGGGAGGTAGGCAATAAATGATTTATGGTGGTGGTTGGTGGTTGGTGGCATCAAGATGGCGATGAACGGTGGTGATTGGTGACGTTGGGATAAACCCTTTCATGAAATTTGCTCGATATTTTTGGTATAACAAAATAACATTTCTGTCCAACAAATGATATAAAGTTACTTGTACAAGAATATAAACACATGTAAACTCAACCAACGAGTTACGCTTAAAAAAGAATTGAGCTTTATGCTTTTTCAATGATTTGAAAAGGCACAAACCATAACAACTATATGACATAGCATGTGGGTAACCACTACTACATAATTTCATAAAAAAATAAGAAAAAACAAAAGTGATAAAATTATTCGTTTAAATAAAAAAAATATTAATCAAGGTCAATGCAGCATGACACGTGTCCCAAATATTTGAAAAATTATATAAAATTTTAACTGTCATGGTAGGTTATGCTTATGCCAGTTGAAATGAAAAGGATTAGGTAGAGATGTGCAAGATTCTTAATTTAAACTGCCCATTCAAATTTTTAAAAGACCAAAGAATCATTTTTGAATAAAAAAAAAAAAAAAGAAATTTAATATTTGAAAAAAATGAGAAAGAAAGTCAATTTCGTACTTTAATGATGCAAAAGTGTCTAATCGACTCAATTGATACAAATACTACGTCCCATTGTTTTTATCTTCTCGTCTCTCTCGTAGATTTCTATCTCTTGAATCTCATTTCAAAAATTTATTTTATCTTCATGCTCGTGGAAATTTTTTCTTAGTTGCGTCAAGATATTGCCACGATAATAATCGTTAGAAATACATAAAGCCAAATTGTTATTACTTAAGAATTTTAGATTAAAATTTGCAAATCAAGTATATGATAGTTTTTATGGAACATGCCGCACGTATAGGGGTTTGTTTACAGACACCGCCAGACAACACACAATTGCGGGCCTTGACGTATTTTTATTTTTATTATTTTCATGTGGGATCAATCCCTCCAGTGAGGGATCGGTAAGACCCCCATAGGAAATGCTTTGTACGAAGAGCATTTTCCTAGTTTTATTTTGGCTGTCAACTAAGAAACCATGCATATTATTAAATAATTATAATGATAATAATTCATTTTTCACCTAGGAGTTGTAAAAAGAAGTCATGTACTGTCAATCTGTTACTTACGTGTCTGGAATCCAATTTTGAATTGTTTTTTTCTTCGACCCTCCTACAAGTGAAAATGAATTCATGTACTTTCTTCATATCTATCTACAATGAAATTGGAGTGTTCTTGTAGTGGATATGATTGATGGGAGTGTCTAGATGCATGTACATATTAGAATATATAGGTGTTTAAAAACAAACTTTCAAGAAGCTTTGCATGTTCCTTTGCCAGAAATATTGCATCAAAATGTTGGTGTGCCTCCTCTACTTGTGGATATAAACAAGTCAGCCCTTGATAAAACAATTGGAACACCAAAAGGGATTGACCAAAATGTCCTTGAAATTGAAATCCTACTCTAACCCTCCACCACTTGTTGACATGGTATAATGTAGTAAAAATTGCAAGATTAATCCCCGATTGATTAGCCATATGATAAATTGATCTTAACTTTTGACTATGTAACTGTTCATTTTACAATTAAAAAGTTAAATTGTTATTGAAAAACAGTTATATCCATGTTTTTAGTTCACATAAAATAAATAGAACAAGAAAAGAAAACCAAAGAGCAAGCGTGTCTCAAGATGGAAGGTGGACAAGTGAAATGGGGGAGATGAGACTGGGGAACATGTAGAGGGTGTTGAAGATGGAGAATGCAAGAATTTGCATGGAAGAAAAAGACAAGGAGTTTGAGGTTGGATAATGGGATTACATGATAGGTATTCTAAAGGTAAGAGGTTTGTAGGCATGTCAAAATATCAAATCACGTATAGTTTTGTGTTGCTCAATCCCAGATGGGCGAGGATTCCCTAATCAACTAGGGAATCCTAGCCAGCTTGTTTCCTTAAAATACCCAGCATGGGTGAGGGATGGCAACCGAGCATGGATTCCTTGATCCCCACGAGACCTACCTTGAACGAGCACAGATTTCCCGATTAATCGAGGAATGGTACAGGGAAAATGGTTCCCACACCAATCAGTTCCTCGTCCCTACCACATTTAATAATAAATTATTTTTATAAAATAAATGATAATGTATGGTCAAGGATCAAAATGTCTTGATCAAAAAATTATGTCCAATTTGCTACATAGACCATAAGTTAGAATTAAAAAACAATTTTTGGAAATTTATTATTACTGTTGGATTGGAGGATTTTTTTAATCATGTAGGGTTTTATTTAATTAATTTATTAATTTTAATTATTTTAAAATTGAATATCATATGTAATTATTAACTGATTAATACAGTTGGCTTGTTTGAAGTCAAATAATTTCCTATTGAGCTATCATTTTCAGCATGTCTTTACTTGTTTCAAAGATGACCTAAATATCATAATTAAAATACTTTGAAGTCAACATCTGCCATTATTTACAAGCTTTGTGGAGATAATCTTCAAATTTTTATACTGGAAAAATTGTAGCCAAAGGAAAGAAAATAAAAGAAAAGAGGAAAAATAATCTCAAATCTCACCGATACTCGATCTAATTTCACACGAGGGAGCGTGTTGAACTTCAACCCAATGCCAATATTCATTTTTCTCTTTCAACACCTCGTATCAAACTCCGCGAGAGAGACGTGAGACCATGTAAACTTTTCTCTATTGAACAATTATAAATCTGCCCTTTCTTTTAAGATTAGGACTTGGATCTTTATCGCGAAAATAAAGCAATCAAAATATCTAGTGCATACCAAACGTTTCATATC